AGATGGATGAACGAATGGCAGAATGACCACTGATATTTTAGGGAGGAAGGAATGGGTACAGGAACCTGAAGGGGTTAGTCCAGCCGTGGGCAAACTATGGCCCGTGGGCCGGATCCGGCCCGTTTGAAATGAATAAAACTAAAAAAAAAAAAAAGACCGTACCCTTTTATGTAATGATGTTTACTTTGAATTTATATTAGTTCACACAAACACTCCATCCATGCTTTTGTTCCGGCCCTCCGGTCCAGTTTAAGAACCCATTGTGGCCCTCGAGTCAAAAAGTTTGCCCACCCCTGGTTAGTCCCATGTTTCATAACAGATGGAGGGAAGACAGGTTTTAATTGTTGTGAAGATAATTTCAATAGTCAAGTACTTAAGCTCCTAGTAATAGATTATCGACTATTATTTTATTCTTACTAAAAAAAGTTATGCATTATGAAAATGTCAATGTCATAAAAACAAAGAAAGGATAGAATATGTTCCAGATTAAAAGATACTTTACAGTGAGTGCAACAGATGATCCTAGACTGGATCCTGCATCAGAGGGGGTTGGAGTGGGGGGGGGGGGGGACATTATTGGATCAATTGAGAACATTGTTATAATCCTTGAATCTACCTCTGTATCACAGCATTAAATTCACAGAAGTTGATAAAATGTACTGTGAGTATGTATTTAGGAATAAAAGGACACAATGTATGCAACTTTCTCTCAAATTATCAAAATGAGAGAAAGAGAAACAAAACATATGGAGTAAAATGTTAATAGGTGAATATAAGTAAAAGGTAGACAATAGCGAGTTCCTTGTATTATTCTTGCAACTTTTTCTATAAGTTTGAAATTATTTCTGAGCAATAGGTTAAAAAAGAAGAAAAAAGTACTAAACTGAAACTTCAACTCTAATTCAAAACAGTCCAATCTCCTGCAGATTTTAGATTTTGATTGTTCCCACCACTGTGATAGCTTAGATACCACTCTACTACAAAAGTCCTTCTATACAGTCAAACTGGTCCCAATGTCCTTCTTGAAAAGTGGCAGAGAATAAAACAGGAAATAGGCCAGAGCCCTTACGGAGAGGAAAAATAAATCATCCTTTTTAGGAGTCCCTGCCATGTGGTTTTCCTTTTCCTAAGAGGTCTCCTGGTGGCGGTTTACAATCCATCTGTGATCTGGCCTCTGCCCACCTCGTCCTGGTACCACTCCCCGGCGAACCCTTCCTGCTCCAGACATAATGGTCTCCTTTAGGTTCCTCAGACAAGCCCAACTTCCTACTTTAGAGCACTTGCACCTGTTATTCTCTCCTCCTGGGATGCTCTTCTCCCTGAGCACATGATTGGCCCCTTGTCATTCAGATTTAAAACTAAACGTTACAACTTCAAAGTCACTTTCCCTGATATCCCACTCAATCCATCTAAATTAGCCGTCCTAGGACAGATAGAGAGCTCAATGAGTATCATTGAAGAACAAATTGAGCCACGCCTCTATTCACAAGACGCCTTGGGGTTTCCTTCTCTTTGGCCTCACTCACATTACTTATATTCTCATTATGTGGTCACTGAAAGTACTATAGTTGTTTCTGCATTTCTGTTTTCCCACTACATTTTAAGCAGCTTGCAGGAAGAAGCTATCTCCACTGTCTAATTCCCAGTGCCTTAGAAATGTGTTGAATTTATAAGGCACCAATAATTCAATACTCATTGGTAGCAAATAATAACAAATAAGGCTGATGGTTATTAAGTGCTTATTTTGACCCAGCCCCCATGAAAAGTGCTTGAAATGTTTTATCTCCTTGAATCTTTATTGTAGCCAAGGTACTTCTATTATCCCCATCTATAATAATAAAAGGGTAATATGGAAATCAACCGATTGGCCAAACAGCAGAAAGACTGTCCGGGTGACCACACTATGACAGGCACTGGTGTCAGGCCAGCCAAGGCGGATGCGATTGGTCGGGGAGCCCACCACCGCCCCACAATCCCCTGCAGAGGGAGGCCCAGGCCACCGGCCGGTAGGGTGATCCATGGGAGTGGAGGGTCCACGATCGCCCCAAAGTGGGAGGCCCAGGCCACCCTCTGCAGGGCGATGGGTCAGGGGGTTCTGTGATGGATTGCCCTGCAGAGGGAGGCGCAGGCCACCCTCTGCAGGGTGATGGGTCAGGGGGTTCTGTGATGGATTGCCCTGCAGAGGGAGGCCCAGCTGGGGTGCTGCAGCGGGTGGATAGGGCCTCCCTCTGCGGGAGGGATGGATCGCAAAGCCCCCACCAGGGGAGGCCCAGAGTACCCGGCAGGTGGCGCTGAGATGGGTGGGTGGGGCCTCCCTTGCACAGCGATCTATCACGGGGCTCCAGGACTGCAAGAGGGCGCAGACTGGGCTGAGGAAGACACACACACACACACACACACACACACACACACACACCCCGTGCACGAATCTCATGCACCTGGCCTCTAGTTTTATACATAAGAACCTAAGGCTCAGAGAGGTTAAATTACCTGCCCAAGGGTTCACAGCAGCAGCAGCACAACTCAAATCCAGGTAGTGGATCCCTAAAGCCCATGCTTCTATCACTCTAGGACAGCTGGAGAAAATCAGGTGTGCTGCTCATTCTTTCCACTCCCATTCTGCCAAATCGATCTATCTATCACCACGTGAACATGTGCACATGTGGAAGCAAGCTGACCTTACCCCAGGGTGGCTGCTCAAGTGCTATGCGGTGAAGGGCATCACTGAATGCGTCTATTGTCCAAAATAACTCTAACCTCCCCACTAGAGTGACCAAAAATCCTCTATTAGGGAATCATTCTTTAAGCACTGCAAAATCCCTAGTTAAAATGCAAATATCAAAAGGGTTAACTGCTTTCAACGAGTGGAAGCCAACAAGATTTTGAAGTAAATTGTTCAGATTATCCAGCCGTGCCCTGAGGAATGAAACCCATCCACCTAAGGTTGTCATAGAAAAGAGAAATTTCAAGAAACATCTAGTGGGTATCATCTTTGAAGACCCAATCAAGGTCAGGTGCCAGGACAAACATCCACATATGTGTAGTAAAGAGGAAGGCGTCAGAGAGTAAAATTGCAGATGGTGTGGAAAATCTCCATCTTCTGCAAAATGCTGCTTTAGGACCAATCCCAAACAGCGGCTCTAAAAAGTATCCATCCTTAGCAAAGCAAAAACCACAGAGCAGAGGGATAGGTGCTTGCTCCATTCAGCTAGCAGTGGTTCTCAACCTTCTGGCCCTTTAAATACAGTTCCTCATGTTGTGACCCAACCATAAAATTATTTTCGTTGCTACTTCATAACTGTAATGTTGCTACTGTTATGAATCGTAACGTAAATATCTGATATGCAGGATGGTCTTAGGTGACCCCTGTGAAAGGGGCATTCGACCGCCAAAGGGGTCTCGACCCACAGGTTGAGAACCGCTGAAAGAGAATACCGGTCTTCACCAAATTAGAGACAACAAAGAGCTAGATAAAAGACAACAAGCCAGTCATTGTCTAAAACAGCAGATGTTCACACTACGCATAACATGACAGCATCAGGGAGGAGGATTTCTAGGCACTTTTCATCCTTGAAAACACTGCTCCTCCCACCCCCGCTGCCCTGTTTTGGTACCTGTGCCCTCTGGGGCCCTCCCCCTCCTCCTCCCTCCCCTCCTCCTCCCCCCCCCCTCCTCCCCCAATGGCAAGGAAGCCGCTTCCACACATGACTGGGTATCTTTAGCCCTGGGCCACTTCAAGTCAGGCCACCTCTGTGGGCTGCCAGGGTGCTGTATGAAATCCCTGGAGGCAAGAGGAAAAGAAAGGCAGGGAGCCTCCTGAAGTGGCAAACACGGCCATAACCTCATTATGGCTGGCAGGTAGCAAAGGGCAAGGTCTCTGGGCTGGAGATCACGAGACCACGGGGATCTTGGGGACTGGTGGGCCCACTGGGGACAAGGACAATTTGTCTCGTTTCTTCAAAATAAAAGCAACAGGGCAGCCATCCAAGGCAATATTTCCCAAACTTCAGTCATTGGGGTACCGCTCTACACACGGTTCCACGTTGCCATCCTCCCCCATACACTCATTTATCCATCACTTCTCTTTATCCTCACCAGGTTTTTGCATTTAAACACATCCAGTTGCAAAGGAAACTTTATATCGTTGTGAAATCGCTCATTTGATGGAACAGCTTTTCCTAATACTAAAGAAAACACATAACCACGTTTGTCCGCGTGCCATCTCAAATCACCACTGTTAACCCCGGAGGTGCCACCGAGAGGGGCAGCTTTGGGAAGCGCACGCCATCCAGGAGGGGCCAGGGGTTGGACTCCGGGCTTGAACGGCATTCCTGCCTCTTTCCCCTAAGGAGGGTAACCTCGAGGGGCGCACGGGAGTGTGCACAGGCTGCCCCACACACACACCCCCAAAAAACACCCCCCACCCCCATCACACACACGTCCCCAGGCAGCACGTTTCCTGTCATAACAAAACCCTGGGGGAGGGGACGGCGGAGGGCGAGCCGAGTGCCAGGGAAACCCCCGGCAACAAACCCTAAACAGACACCTGCGGGCCCCGCCTGGCCCTCACCGCGGGCTCGGTTCGCTCGCTCCAGCCGGGCCGGGGGTCGCAGGCGAGAGGGTGTCCCTTTCCCGGAGCCCAGATGGTGGGAAGCGGCTGGCAGAGCGGTCGCTGGCTCGGGCCCAGCGAGATGTACACAGCGGCCCAGCCGCAGCGACCCGGCCGCCTCCGGGGCCCGACGCCCGCGACCACCCGGACACCCGTCGGGGCTCCTTGCCGCCCGCGCCCCGCTCCCACGCGGGACGGCGGTTCGAGGTCAAACAAGAGGACTCGGGGCCGCAAGAAACCGGGCTTTATCGCGCCTGGCCCTGGCGGCCCAGGACTGAGTTCTAACGTGGGGCAAAATGCTCCGGGCTGCCCCACGCCAACATGTCCCCCCTCCGCCGGCCTGGGCCCAGCACCTCGGAGCCGGCGACCCTCCCCCGGGGTGGATACGCACCCGGCCGGCGCGGAGACGGCGGATGAGAAAGGCGACTGAGTGAGCTCGAGTCGAGGGTCTCCGGGTGTCCCCGCACCCAGCACGGCACAAGCACTGGAAAACTCGCCTGTCCAACCACCCCCAGCCTCCCCGACCCCACCCCCCACGCGGTATTTAAAGGGCCGGGACGGGCTCTAACGAGGCAGCCACGGCGTGACCATAACATAACCGGAGAGTAGGGGGGGAACAGCACGGGGGAGAGGGGAATCCAGGGCACTCCCGGCTCCGCCAGCAGAACTCTGACAGATCTCCAACTACAGGACACGTTCGCGCACGTTCGGACGAAAGTAGCTGAGGAGAGCTTGGATTGAAGGTGTTTTTGATGCATCAGGGAACGCCATCCCCCCCGCGTCCTAGGAGTGGTTCAGTCCGGGGGCTCCGAGGGGCGGGGAGAAAAGTGTTTACGGAACTGGGGCAGCAGTGCTGCGGGGAGCGGCCTGAGCCGGGGGCGGGGCCTGTCAGGGCCTAAGGGGCGGGGCCGAGATGGGTGCGCTGAACTGGGGGGCGGAGCGGGGGAGCTGGGGCCGCGGCGAGGGCACAGGCGGATCGGCTGCTAGAAGCGCTGGACTGACCCCCTTAGGAGCCCCGGGTGCGCACCAGCGTGCGGACATTGCTGCCAGCTCCTCTGCCGCGTGTGGAACTTTTACTACCCAGACACCCCTCATTTAGACGGGACGATCCAAAGTAGGTGCTCGCTGTCACACCGTGGACACAGAGACAGCCCAAATGCCTACGTGGCTAGTGTGTTTCCACGCACGTCAGCAACCAACAGTGTGTCGCCCACGTTTGTGTCTGCACCTCCACATAAACACGGGTCCAGATTTGCATATGGCTGGACTAGACGATTAGCTCCTGGGAGTCACACCCACCCAGGCTCTCTCTGAAGAGTCAGCTTGTGTGCAGGCAAAAGATAAAGCATCTTACTTCCTCTAGGGTTTTTGGCAGCACCTAGCTCTATGTCCGGGAGACGTTTCGACACTGGTTAATGTAAATAAGCAGGGCCAGCATGGGCTCTGTGCAGGCAGGCCAGCTGCTCAGCTCCTGTGGGCATGCTTCACGCATGAAAACCACTCTGTATTCTGCCAGGTATAAGCTGGTGTTATTTAGGAGATAGTTTCATGCAGGGATGTAAATGAATTTTATATAGACTGAAGTATTTTAATTTAGTGCTGAAATCATATCTGGGTCGTGGAGGCAAAATTGGTTCTAGAAACAAACCAGACAGGCAACATTTTAAAGGAGGGTAGAAAGCCAGTTATCCTAGATCAGTGGTCAGCAAACCGGGGCTCACAAGCCACATGCGGCTCTTTGGCCCCTTCAGTGTGGCTCTTCCACAAAATACCATGCGCGGGCGTGCACGTACAGTGCAACTGAAACTTCTGAAACTTCGTGGCCCATGCGCAGAAGTCGGTTTGCGGAAAGGAGATAGATGAAACAAGTATACAAGACGAGTGTGGATGGGAGAGTTGGAAGGGGTCGACCTCAGGACGTACCTCAATCAGATTGAGGACGTTTTTAGCTAAGGCCAGCTTAGGAGTACCCTAATTAAGTTAATAACAATGTACCTACCTATATTGTTTAAGTTTAAAAAATTTGGCTCTCAAAAGAAATTTCAATCGTTGTACTGTTGATATTTGGCTCTGTTGACTAATGAGTTTGCCGACCACTGTCCTAGATGGAATAATTCAGTGTTACAATAAGGACTTGTCTAGGATTCAAACCCTGGCTCTGACATTTACTACCCAGGCGATCTTGGTCAGTGGGGATACCAATGATAACTGTCCCATTGGGTTATTGTGAGGAGGAAATGAAGTAAAGCATGTGAAGTGGTTAGGGCTGTAGAGAGTAAGCACTCCATTAGTGTTAGTTATTGAAACTATTTGACAAACCACTCTGAACAAACTTCTCTGGTGATCTGCAGAAAGCTGTTTTTGTGTCTCCTGATGCCATTCTCTCCTCCCTTCTCCAAAAATATACAACTTGATACAAATCAAGAGATTAAAGAGAAAATGCCGTTGCCACCCAGGTTCTTTCATGCACTTGTTTATACAGGTTGCTGGAATCAGCAGTCAGGATAATAGACACCTCCAATTTCAATTCTTGCCAAATTAACACCACACAACAACTACTATCAACACCCTAAAATCCCCACAATAGAAAGATTAACCAAAAATATCCTTCAAACTTCTGGACACTGTGACAATGACACATTCAGTTTTGCTTCCTTTGTTTAGCTTTGTAGGAGCTTAAATATTGTTTTTGCTCTATTACATAACTTGGAGCAGGTGAGCATGAGTCAAGAGAGTTGACCAGTCTTCCTGCGTGACCAACTGCCTGACCCTGGGCATGGCACTTCTTTTAAAGCCCAAATAAGTAACTCTCAAGACCACAAGGAAGCAATTTTTGTCAAATCAGGTGAGTCAAGTTTCAACATGTTTTGGGTTGAGAACCTTGAGGTGGGAGAGGTTGGGCAACATCAGAGACCAGAGCCAGGGAGAGAAAATATCCTGGAAACACGAACTTCTGTTAGTTCGACATTAAATAGCTTGCTATCTGGAAACCTTTTGGTCAGTTACCTGACCAACTGCCCTCAGCCTGACTTGGATATAAAAGCACTTTGAAAAAATATAGCGCTGCAAAGTACTGGGGAGTTCCTTAAAAAAAAATGAGCCTTGTATCACATTCTTGCACGGAGAGCTCAGGCAGTCAGAGAATAAAATCCTCATTGCTCAGATTATGTTTCAAGACCTTCTGGGGGGAAAAAAAATGTCTGAAAAGGCAACCTCTTTAGGAAATAAAATAATTAGCTTTTTATTTTAAGAAGGTAAATTTTTCTAACCTTTTTTGGGGGGAGGACCACTTAGAGAACTCATGGTAATGCAGTCTGTTTTCTCCTATAAACTACACAATAGACTAAAGTTGATCTCTTGCTTTTGGCAAGTAATTAAGGACAGGTCAAAATTGTTTGCTTAGTAAAGAAAAGTAAATACGAATTTTCTTTTGACACATCTGAGTGTTAAATGACAATGAATCCTTGAGAAAATATAAGAAAATCCAACACTGTAGTGTTCATATGGATTTGCAAACTCTCAACCATTTAACTTGCATAATGGAGCTGCAACCTTGTGCTGATCTAGCATAATGTAAGTTTAACCATACTACTCAGATGGGACAGGGTGTGTGGAGCACAGAGAATACTTTACTGGCAGTGACGTTGCCCCTATTCTCTGTATGGGAGTTTTGAGGCTTCTCTTTCTGAGTTGATCTCAGTTTCTCATTATGTCCCAAGCTGCTTACCCAGGACTGGCTTCCTGGATGTACAACCTGTAAAGTTGCACCAGACCCTACGCTCGGAAGAACCCTGTGTTGGTTCTTCTTAATGCTGTGCTGGCGCAATCTTGACATTCGTAATTTTTAACAAGGAGCCCCACATTTGCATTTTGCACTGGACCTCACAAATGACGTAGCTGGTCCTGATCTCACCACACAGATTATGAGTCTAGTGTTTACAGGTAATTATTTTCCCTTAACCTGTCCCCAAATGCAAAGCAATTATTTTATCTACTTGAAGAAACATACATCTGTTTCAATGCTGTAGGCAAAAACACGGGAGTGTATCCCAGGTCTCATGGCCCATTGAAGGAACTATCAAGGATAATTTTTATGGCACATAATTTTGAGTTTACATTGTTCCTTTAGAACCGAACCCCTCACATAAGATATGACTCCACTGTAAGTAGGAGAATTGGTTAAATGGAACCTCATCTCTCTTTTTCTCCCCTGTTCATCTTAAGGTGCTAGGAAAGGTTAAAATTCAGTAAGAGGGGGGGAAAGGGCAATATAAAGTGAAAGGAATAAAAATAATTGGCTAATACAAAACTAGAAAACTGGTCACTGAATGTACAAAATTTAACCACACCTTTTTGGCAGATTTTGTCATTTCCTTCTTTTTGTCTTGAATATAAGGCCGAATTAGATCATTGACCAGTTTTGAAGTTAATCAAAATGTTGATGCTTGATCAAGTTTCTAAAGCACCAATACCAGTTTTTCTCTGACTCCACTGAATTGAATTAGTATGAAATTGAAGGTTATTTCTCATTCCAATTGTTTGTATCCACACACCTAGGACATAGCTCCAAACCCTGACCCCTCACATACTAAAAGAAAAAAACATTCTTGATACCTTCCCCTCACTCTCCATGGGCCCCCTCCACTTACCTGGAAACCACTGTTGTCCCCTAGAAAGCAAAAAAGAGTGAGGACCAGCAGCAGTGGAGACAACTCTGGGCAGGAAGTGGGAGGGGCCAAGCAGAGCTGATGCTCAAAGGAGCATTTAGGAGAAGCCAAAGAAATGATTCAGAGCCCTGGCCAACACAGTCATGCTCTTTACCCCACCTCTGGGCCATCAGGCAGTCCTTTTCTAAATGCTTTCATAGCTCAATCATGGTTGAATATTTTGATCTTCACTTTAAACATCAATTGGAAAACCAGAGGGGAAAGAACTTCTAAAATAAAGGGCACAACTTAGAAGACATAAAGGAAAAGATTAAGAAATGTGTCTTCAGATAGCATGTTCAACATAAAAAACATGAGTTAGAACAATGATTATGTGGTGATTCCATTTGTAACTTGAGAGAGAACTTGTACTTGAGAGCACAAATAATGTATTTTATACATATGAAATGCATAGGAATGGATGAAAACATTACCCTCCAAACGGTTTAGGAGGCATGTTGGGAGAAGTTTCTGGTTTCGTTTATATAAATGCAAATGGCTTATTTCTTTTCCAGTAAGAATGTATTCATTCAGATGTCACTAATATAATTTCACGGTGCCAATACAATCACACCACTTTTATCATTGTATGTCCTCCTAAATATACCTTAGTGGTGGTGGACCATTAACACTGCACAATAAATAAATTTCCCATCTCTCTTTTATGCATATCTTTAAAAGTCATGAAAACAAAAGGAGCTTTTCATATAAATTACAGGAAGGAATACATTTGCAAAAGGTCCTTATTTTAAAAAGATAATTTAATTTAAAATTCTATGGTATGTCAGCATTATTTATCCTGGGTGGGAAAATACTGATCTTTACTTTTTAAGTAGTT